AGGTAAATGTGAATTTTAAATGGCAGGAATAGTTACTACTTGAAGGAAAACAAACAGTTCAGATTTTATTATTTTATCAGCTTGAAAGCAGGACAGTGGAATGAGGAGCTCCAGAAGCCATACTCTATTCAAAGCATCCCACTGTAAAAATCAAAACTATTACACTACTAATTGAAGTGACAGTCAAAGGCTTTAAATAATACGTGTTTAATAGACAATTTGAATGACAGCGCAAGGAAGCAAACAGCAATCACAGTGACTGAGTAGCAGTAATAAAAATATTGCTAACCGGAAACATGACAGGTAATTTTCATTTCACATTGTTTCAATACTGCAAGTTACAGCACTTAAGAACCGATAACATAGTGCTAACTTAGCATGAGAAGTTTGCTGTAAGTACAACTCATACGTTTGATGTGGACCGCAAGGTTTCAAAAGTTTGAAACGCTTTCAGAAACGGCTGTAACAAATCTAATATATCATTACAGATTAATAATTCTATGTACGATCATAAATTTAAACTGTGGATCTTTATATAGGAAAAAAAAAAAAAAAAGACAGGAAACAGTTTCTGAAAACACAAACCAAGATGACTGTGCCTGCCTCTGTGAATCCTTAAACTGTGATGTTGTGGCAAGGAGTTATTTTGGAGATTTCTCTCCAAAGTTCCCATACATACAAGGTCCCATAGTTGTCCAACACACCACCCAGATCTCAAATCATGCGCTCTCCTGAAGCTTCAGTCCAGCAAATAATTAAAAGCTGAAAAAACTGCAGGCCAGAAAGGGCAGGGGTCCGGGCTACAACAATTCACCTGATACTGTGACAAACACAGGGAGGCTTTAAGACCAATTTTTCTCATTAAGAGTATTGACTTTATTAATTACACATATAAACTTCGTACCACTGATCACCAGCCACTTAAGAGTAACCTAAAAAATAAGCACACAGCCACCAGCATCACGTAATTTCAAGGTCTTAGTTTACACAGTTCCTCCTGGTGGCAAGTTTTACAGATCAAAACCTAAAAGAAACAGTCATCTCAACCTGCTGGACTTCAGCACAGCATTTAGCAGTTTCAAGTGCAAGACTATTACCTCAAAAGAGCAATAGGAGAGGAACAGAACAGGGTTCAGTTGCCCCAGGCTGAATTTAAGGAGTTAGAAGTAATAGCTCATATCCCAAAGTGATTCTGCAGGACTGAACCCTCTCTCCCCTATTAACACAACAATTTTCATGACACTGGAAAGACTGGCTAGAAAAAAACTCCTTCACACCTCCATAATAATTTCACATTTCTACTGTTTGAGCTATTCGTATGCTAACTGTAACAGCTTTTATGCCTGTAACAACTGAAACAAATAAAACTAGGTATTTTTTTCCACAGTCCATTAAAAATAAATAATAAAAAAAAACCTACACACAGTCCACATTTATTTCTGACAGGTTTCTGTTTTCTTGACAATTTTTAGTTGAAGTTACAGAAGAAAAACAGATTTTTTTTCCATGCCTTTTTAACACTCTTGCATGTTTAATAAAGTTAACAGCAATAACACTGCATAAGGAAAATCAGCGTATCTATACATCTGCAATAACCACTGGGAGCAGAGTAGGAACAAGCACAAAGGAGCTGATGAAAACTTTATTTTAACCCTGAACTGCAAAGTTTATACATTTTAACACCATGTTTACATGTTGTCCTTACTGTATATAATAAAAGCAGGTTGGGTTGCTTTCCATAAGAAATATTGAAAAGTCATAAATTTAGTATCAAAAACATGCATTATAACAAGCTATCCCAAGCACTGGTTATTTATGCATTACCTTAATACCATCCATTAAGTTACCCATTTACATTAATGCCAAAGCACATAAATAATAAAAGACTTTTTACATTTATCACTATTTTAAAATGGTAAAGACAGAAAAATTTCATCAACCTATTTGAGGTATGGAACTTCTACTTGAGAGTTGGCATACACTACGCATTTCATGGAATGAAATTTACTGTACATTTATTTACAACCATTTATCAGTAAAAATTGTTGTAAACAGCACTGACACTAAGGCCATGGAGAAAGTTGCTGTTTTAACCATTCAATGGAGCACTCAAGTGCCGTGGAAGCTAAGATCAGCTATTGAAACCTGTTCTTTTGTACTTTTTAAAGGTATTTTTAAGGCAACTGAAAAGGATAATACACTGTTTCAGGGAATAATACAAACACCAGAACAGGTTAAAAAAAAAAAAAAAAAAAAAAAGAAATCCTTCTCCCACAAGTCTTTCATTATGTGGTTACCACAGATGCATTAACAACAGTTTTACAGCTTTTCCCTTTTTTATTTTTTTATTTTTTTAATTAATGAAAGACCACAGGCACTCTTCCCGTTCTACTAAGTGTGAAATAACACCCCACCTCAAAAATCTTTGTAAATTTTACCGAACACAAATTCTGAATACGTTACTTAGAAAACAAAAAAAAAAAAAAAAAAAAAGTGAGTTTTAAAATTACACAGTTTGCCATTACGGTTGATCAACTCTGATAGGACACACCAACATTTTCCTTTAGGTATCCACTACACAGTTCCAAACATTTAGGAGCAGCACGAATTATTCACTTATTCCAGAATAGCTGAGGAGGTGAATTCCTGACTTGGTCCTGCTAGGTGTCCGGTATTCTCATCTTGCTGTCAGGAAGATCAGTGCAATCAAGGCAGCTGGTAGGTGTACACCTTAAAACATTTTATGCACTTCATAAGAACAAGGTAAGGCACATTACTGCTAATGTGGATATTTCCATTGGATTGCTCATTATACCTTAAGGTTTACAAAGCATGAATCCATCTTTTGGATTTACTTTTCCCCTCTGTTTCACAGTGAACTTTATTCCCCCCTTGAACAACTAAAACACAAGACCTTCAGCAATGCTTCAGAGCACAAAGCTAGTTAAAATCCCAGTTCATGACTACTGGCACGACATGAATCTTCAAATTCATTTTGAGGAACATACCCTGTATTTGAAACTTTTGAGCTTCGTTCCTCAGAAAACTGGCTTAATACGGTGCTCTACTTTGTAAGACATACAAATACAATTTTGATTAAACAAATAAAAAATCCCACAGGCATTTCCTAACAACAGCAAATATAAACCCTGACCAAAGAACACAAATTAAGGAGAGGAAATTTATAATTCTGGTATGTAAATCAAATTACCAAGAAGAAATATAACATGATAAAACAATTGCTGCACAGATGCCGATCAGACATGGATACTTGTAAAACGATTCAACCTTTCCGGAGGAGAGGAAGCAGTTCTTCTTTAAAATACAAGTAATGAAACAGTTTGGGGGAGGCTCTCAATTTTATGCAGTAGCCAAAGACATTTTGAAAGTCCACAATCAGTTACATATAGTCTCTTACCAGTGTGAGCAAAGTGGAAAAAAAAACAAAAGACTTAAAATGGCTGCAGAAATATTTTTTTACAGTCAACCTTTATATTACACACCCTGGTGTCAGCTCAGCTGACAGGTCAACTCTCACCACCATTACTTTGACTTATGTATGCAAAATGCACCTGTTTACACTTGGATATGCAGATGTGAACAAACAGGCAGAGTACAGACAAAGGTGAACAACTGTTGTGGGATCATCTCGTACCACACATGACCGAGCAAACAACCAGCCCCTTTTCACACTCTGTGAATTACGTTACCAGGCATGTAATAGTCCACAAGTGCTTCTTGTTCCCTCACGTTTATGTTATTTTCCAAAAAATTCACATCTCAGAACTGCGTGGTTCCATTATTTTAATTAAATATAGATTAGCAATGGTAATGTAAGAAAGACTTAATGGCATCAAGATATTTCAAATGAAAAAAATCACGAAAATGTTGCAATGCACTTCAGCCATACCGTCACAAATGATATGTCATATAAATACAGACAAGAGGTAGCTGGCAGCTACAGTTCCACCAGTTCTAGAAGTGCCAAATTTGTCAAAAAGTGGCATAAACTGACAAATATTAATTAAATCTCTCAACTGGAAAAAAAAAAAACAACAAAAAAAAACACCTAGTTTATTGCTTTTAGAGGTTCTTTACATGAGAAATAAGCAAAGGCATGTCAAACAAAATTACCTGACTTGATGGCTTTTGATTAAATTCACTTTTTCAAAAGAACTACTAATAAAATCTTGAATGCAAATAGTCGACTTGCTCCCAACGTTACATGTTCTCACTGCAATGAACAAACGCTTGCATTTTCCAAGAGGAGAAAAAGAGAGGTCTTATTTCCAAAAGAATAGCATTAGCTTACTTTCTTATGAGCAACCATGAGAACTAAAACCCAAGTTCCCGCCAGACAGAGTACATTGAAAAAACAGACCAGGAGTTGCAAGAGAGGCAACAAGCATTCTAGCTAAGGGGACAGCGGGGTAATGGCAGGTGACAGATGAAATGCAGATGGAAATACTATGATCTGTACTACACATGTCATTTTTATTAAAGCTTCCAGAAGATTGATTTATTTTTTCCCCAAAGAAGAGGCAAAGGTGTAACAGACAAGAAAAAAAATAAAGAAATGTAAAGGAGAAAAAGATGCAAGAACACATGACACAACACAGCAACCGCCAAAGCAAGACAGAGAACTAAGTAAGACTTCAGCAATGTAAGCCAAGTGAAAGTTGTGCTCATTTCTCCAAAGAATCTGGAGGGGAGGCAAAGAAGGAAAGGTTAGATGAGTTTTTTGGTTTTGTTTTGGGGTCGGGGGTTGTTTGTTTTTAAAGACACAGTGCAAGTTTGTCTAAAGAAGTGGTACTACAGATGACAGAACTTAGTCCTCTGCAGCAAAAGAAATACTTTGACCTCTAAAGTAAACTAAGCATACAAAAGTGGTAAGAATAAAAGGTGCACGTAAAACCAGCAGCAATATTATGTTTGTCTTTCCACTACTTCTGCAAGTTACTGTACATATATTACATCACTATTATAGAAATGGCACAGCCTCAGACACTTTCCACATTTTATTTACATTTTAAGACTAACTTTAATCTCAATCACATATCCATACATTTCCTTTGTTTCACTAAAACTTAAATGCATGGTTTATTAGAACAAAGACTGTAAACAAATATTTGCCATGTCCGATACATGTAACACACAGGAGCTGCTTAACAGAAATTAATCCCCCCTTTTTATAAATACAGGTATCAAAACAATCCTGAACATACTTTGTGACACTACTAGTAGTCGGCACCCACACCCTTGCAAAATTAAACAAGATGAGCAACGGTATTCACTGTACCTGCTACTTTAAAACAAATTTTAACTGCAGCTCTTTTACTAAGCAAGATGGATAAAGCATGCCATTTATATTTTGCCTTCTCAAGAGATTATTTTCAGAAACATATATTATTCCACAGCAATCTGACACTTTCTGTCATGCTTTCATCTTGTAAAACCTGAATTCCAATTTTAGGCTATTTCAGGCTTATGCTTAAATGACAGTGCCTTGATAAGAGAAAAAAATAATTGTGCTGCCTTTTTCTCCCATAGTGCCTGAAAACATATTGGGCATACATATATTATATATATTCTTACAAATGTCCAGGTCATGTATACCAGCTGAAATTCTTTTAATGTGTGGGTGTTTGCATTGTGAGATTTAATCAAGACATTAACATGAGTAGAAGGTTGTTGTTTTAAGACAGAAGTTTGAGAATCAGCTAAAATTAATTGTTGTAAGTTTGTCCTTCTGGAGGTTGTGGAAGCTTCATATTTTCTTTGGACATCATTAGACGTCTTAGCTCTTGAAGTACAACTTTAATGCTATAAGAATTTTGCCATTTTGCTAACACTGGTATGCTCCGTGCATCCACCTGGAAAAAGAAGAAGGAGTTGTAAGTTACAATGAAATTAAAAGATTTCTATGTAACTAACTGCTAATGAACCAACCATGCTAAAAAAAGAGTCGAAACATTCCCTGACACTTTCTCTGTGACATTCATGCCATGTGTCCTTATGTTCATAAAACATTTTTAGGAAAACATTTGCACACGGATACACATTCTACAATGACATACATGCAGGTGGATCCCCCCCCCCCACCTGTGCTAATATGAACGTTAGCGAGAAGGAAAGGGATAGGTTGAGAGGGGAGAGGAAAACAGTAAACAGTTCACTGCTGAACTGGAGCCATATCTTATAAAATTCAGTTTCATCAATTTGTTTCAAGTTACTCAAAAAAAAAAAATCACCTTCATTAAGCTATTATATACAGTCGGATTCTTCTCAGCTCTTAAAAAAGACACAGTAATTTGTAGAATACCTCTCTAAAGGAAAATTTCCCTTGCTGCAAGTTTCAGTTTGTGATTTATTCCCCATCAGTATTATGTGGTGCTTCTGATATACCAAGAGTCACTACATATGCTAAGAAATAGTTTGAAAAACTGAAATATTTTATATATAACATTTACACATCTCTTAGTTCTTTGCCTTCTTATTATAGAGCATCGTCTCATGGAGCTGTCAAGACTACTGTACTCACCAATTTGAACTGAAAGGAAGGGACATTTCATTTATAAAACCTGTGGGACAATTTAGACAAACAGCTCAGCTCTTCTCTTCACACAAATAATGTTCTGCCTAGAGTCAGAACTCCTTTAAGCTGCCAACAACTGAGTAGCATCAAACCACAGCATAAAGGCAGTAAGGCACTTAATAATTATTGCAAACATTAATAAGCTAGGAAAGAAAGAGCATCAAAAGGAAATTATCTTATTCATCAAGATCACACCAGTTTAAAATAAGCAATGAGTGTATGAGCTTGCACAGAAAGGTTCTGAAAGTAACACTAGTCAGACTGCCACTGTTATTCCTGGACTACTTCCTCCTCTTTTTCAACGCGGGTATTTGGTTTAATGTGGTAGATAAAAGATCAGAGGAAAAAAAAACAAAAAAACTTTAACTGGAAAACAGTTTCTATTTTCTTCAAAGGCAGAGTAATAGATAAAAACACAATAGGTAAAAAAACGCAAAGGGAAACTCTGATAACAGGTCACCTGTGTTACCAAGCAGCAGCTCAAGTAAGGCCTCGTGTAGCCTGAATCACTGTTGTGAAGTACCAAGATCCTACAGATCTCCTCTGCAATCCTTCTAGATAAGATTAAAGCAGAACTCACCAGAGTTTCTGTCCAAACAGCTGGACCCGGTGAACAAGGAACAACATTAATTCATTTGAAAAGTTAGAATGGTAGATCTCACACTATTCAAAACAATTCTCCACACAGAGAATGCAGTGAGAAAAGCACCAGACCACCATTTTTGAATAAAAATAGAGGTTCTCCAGAACGAAAACAGCACCATGGTGGTGAAGTAACCTGTTATTAGAGGAATCAAGTGCTTAGATCATATGTTCACTTTGCATATAGTTGCAGATGTTTAAGAAGTTATTCCCCACTAACACTTGCTAATGCTTCTCTGCAGCTAACCTACCATCTTCTTCTACTTAGCAAAACGGAACAAAGCATGAGTACTCCCCAACTACTTTGCTGTAAGCCAGCAATTTGGCAGACTGGTAATTTAAACACCTTCCATGTTGGTCTGAAGCACAGCACCTTCTACCGAAGTAGCTGAGGAGAGATCATGCCACTGACCCACCAGAACAGCAGTAGTCTCCCCAAAGAAAGTAAGGGGAAAAGAAGCTACAGTACAGGAGGCCAAGGACCAGGCTACAGCAACAACAGAATGTTCAGAGCCAGGAGAAAGGTGCCCTTTGGGGATGCAAGCCCCAAACTGAAGACAATCAGTAAACAGTCATGAGTAAGAAGAAAAAGATAGGTTTAAGACTTCAGTAGGTTTGAGAAAGAAAACTAATCTAATTATCTGTTCAGATAGACTGGGTTAGCAAAAGATAGCTGGAAAGGCAGTTGCATCCTCCAGTGAATGTCTTTCTTCAGTCTTGCAATTCTGCTTCCATACCACCTTCCTTTTCCTTGCTTCTCCTCAACTTTGCTTTTGTAGCCTCTCTCAGGTTTGGAGATCAGCCTCAGTTACAGCACGTGGTGGTCAGTCACCAGCAATGTTTGAACAATACAATTCTACATAAGCTGCTTTGTGTTGGAATATGAGAGCTGATCACTTTGAAGTAAGCTCTACCAACTTTTCTCTTTTTTTTTTGGCTGGGAATTTGTAATGTCAAACTCACGGACCGTAAATTCTATTTTAACAAAGTTATGAGTGTTTTCTGGTCAAAGACTGCCACACCATAGCATTTTGTTGCTGTTTATCTCAAGTCTCTTCTCGCAAGTCACCAACTTTTTTGACAACATCTTGCAGCAGCGAAGATTTTGGCTCAGGTTCTCTTTTCTGCATTGCAGAATTTATTTCCAATTTAGGCAGTGCACAATAAATTCACTTTATGAAGAACAACACTAAGGTATTTGGAAGGATGACACAAACTATGTTAACATTCAAATCACACAAAAGCACCTAGGTAATATTCAAGTGTGCCTCCTGATACGTTGAGGAAGAAAATTCAAGATCACATAAAAGCTAATAAAGCTGAAAACTGCAACCTGAGGACTGTCTTATTCTGGGAATACACAATTATATACACATCCTTAAACAAAAGCAAGAGTAACTACATATATTATTTTTTTCTAAACTTTTGAAATCAAGCCAAGTAATTCTGCAAAATGTTGCACAATACTGGGTGTTCACAATGTTCCCAGCATCTAAGATAACTTTAAGAGGTAACAAACTGCTTTATTTACAATAAACACACTCAAAGCAGTAACTGGACAACAGTTTACAGAATTATAGTTGACATAGGACTAAGTGAATTTAAAAGAAACAAGTATTTCCAGCTGTAAATGGTACTTAAATGAACAGAGGTGACTGCAAATACTGGAGGACAGACTGTTACAGAACACTCTCACAGATCCAAAAATTAGATATCCTCAAAAGACTATGGGAAAATAAGTATCATGCCAGAACGCAACCTGTGTTTTGTTAGTACAGAATATGGAAGTTTCCAAGAGAAAAGACCCCACAGCATTATGAATAGTAATTTAAATACAATTTTACAACAGTGACACCATTAACACAGAAAAGCGTTTTGTCCAGCCCTACACCAGTACACGGGCTAGCTTTTCTGAACTTGGTAACTCAATTCTGTATACAAACACAGTAGCTCCCATACACAAATTGAAAAGAAGAAAATCACAAAGACTAACTTGCAGATAAGAAATGAAATTTACCAGGGTGATTCAAAGAACCTACATTTAGTCTTTTGATACAAAATACTTGTAAACTACCCCTCTCCTCTTCTGCTCTAAATGTATCGGACAGCAGTCCCCAGGATCCATGCTGCTGATGGAAAATTTACTTGCAAGCAAAACTCCCCTCTCAAAATAATCAAAAAGAAGTCAATAAACTTGTAATTGTCTGTAAGAATAAATTCATTACAGATACCTGCACTTTTCATGCAATATGTAAAAACAGTTTAAGGCTGAAGTTAACTCCAGCACATATCCATCTCTCCCCTCCACTGTTCACACCCCAACTCAAAACAAATCATTACCCTCTAAGCTCATGCTGGGGGCTTTACTCTCCCTCAGGCATTAACTGGCACGCATCTTTTGTAAAGTACTCCCTCACAACGTTACAAATATTTTGAGTAGCACTATAATACCGCTCCAGCAGAATTTCTGTTGCTGTTTATCTCGTGTTTCTTTTCAGCATGTTGCCAATATTTTTCATGATATCTATAAGCAACATGATCAAAAGCTGGCCATGTGTGAAAAAAACAGGCTGCAGAAGCATGGACAGCAGAGCTTGTCTGAAGATAAACACTGCCATTTCCAATCATTCACAGAATGCAGCAAACCGCTTATGATCTATTATATGGAAGAATGACTGAGGGTGCAGCTTCAAAGAAACAAGGAAATAAAACAGGGAGCAGAAACATGAACTGTTCCAGAGAAGCTGAGGAATGTTTTAGGAAAAAAAAAAAAAAAAAAAGAATCTTAGCTTATGGCTCAGACAACAGAGTAAGTCTCACAAGAGATGGGTTCAAGTTCTGATTTTAACAGACTTCTTCAGAGGTATGGGTCAAGTCATTTTGTCTTCCAGTGTTTTCACCCACTAAGTATCCATACTTCTGTTCTGCTTTCCAGCACCTTGCAGCACATCTAGACATCACACGTGCAAAAACCTACTGCAAATAGGCCTCAGTTTTGATCAGAATTGCTTTAGGGTTTGTAAATTACATCTAGTTTTGAAGAAATCTTTCCTTAAAGTTATGTTTAAAAAGAAGCTTTTAAGAAAAACTGTTCAAATAGCAGGCATGCACTATCATCAATACTTGCACTATAAATAAAAGTTTTGACCTAAATCCCTAGTTTTAAATAGATGATTGAAAATGAAAACTGTATTTAGTTTCAAATTCAAGAAAGTAGATGAAGAAAATAAAGTATCTGACTCAAAGCAGTCATTCACAAACAGTGTTCAAATAAACAAACAAAACAACAATAACATAAAAGAAAAAAAAAAACTAGGGTTTTCTCTTTAAAACTGAGTGCTGGTCATTCTCACGACCTCTAAAAACAAAGACTAATTCTCTTGCTATGTAAAATACATTCATATTTTATTGCACTAATTCTGCATGTGAATTTAATCATTAGATAGTGTTTATTAAACTGGTGACTCTAAAGCAGGTTGCACACTTCTATTAGTGCCTTTAGTTTCAGTTAAAGTAAAATACAGTCATGTTTACGAAACACCTCGTGTGGAGGACTACATACTGCATCTGTATACAGGTAATTCTAAGAGTGCACATTTCTGCCCCTCGTTTACACAGAATGGTTAAGGCTGGAAGGGACCCCTGAAGGCCATGTGGTCCAAGCTCCCTGCTCCAGCAAGGCCACCCAGAGCAGGCTGCCCAGGCAGCTTTTGAAGATCTCCACAAGGAGGGAGTCTTTACAGCCTCTCCGGTGCCACTGCTCCATCACTCACACAGTGAAACGCTTCCTGATGTTTAGACAGAACTTTTTATTCTTACTCTTAATATGTTCTGCACAAGGTGACTATCTCTCATATATGCATTATGTATAACGTATCTGGAAATCAGACTTCTCTTTTCTATCCACACAGAAGCCACAGATAAGTCACTCATCCAAAAATAAAAAAAGTGCACTGAGCAAAGACAAAAACTCTCATCTGTAAAATGTATCCCCAATTTATCCGACAAACAGGTTTGGCACTCGAGTGAGCACAACAGCAAAATACACTAAAACGCAAGAAACCAGGACAAGTGGTACATTAAAAATTACATAATGAATGAGTTTTAAGTTCATTAATGCTGAAAAATATTTTCATTAAACATTGCAACTTAGTTCTAACTGAAATGCTAAAATAGGTAGAGTTATGCATTTGCATAGCAAATCCTTCCTAAGTTACAGTAGTTTATAAAAGTATTGGGGTAAATTTGAATGAAGTTTTGGTGTAAGCTTAAAAATATATTAGAATCAAATTTTTCTGTACCAATGGCTGAATTCTAACAGCGCTTTTATAACCACCAGCTGAATTTCCAGTCACAGTGTTCAGCCCATTCCCCAGCAGGCTGAGGGAGTCAAGACTTCTCCAAACACAAGCTCCAAGCAGACTGACTCAGTAAGCATAAGCTTTCAGCCTTTGTAATGTCTGAGATTTTGCTTCTGGAAAGCAGCATCTACATGTATATTCTCAAGCATGCACAGATGAATTAATGACAGCACACTTCTTCACTGATACAGAGTAATACATGTTACTACAGAAACATACAAAAATAATATTATAAACATACCAAAAACTCTACTGCATTCCAGATTAGCAGCATTGGCTGATCGCAACCTCTTAATAAACAAAGATACTCAGACTACAAACTACAGCTGGAATAAACAGCATCAGCTGGTTTGTAGATAGCAATTTTAATAAGATCTCCAGGTAGAGAGAATTTGTTGGCTATGCAAGAAATACTTTCAAATCAATTTTAAACTATTTCTGAGATGTTGGTCTAGTGGCTTTAGATAACCTATCAGTATACCATCTTAACACTTACAACAGCTCAAACACATCCCAAAGAATGTAATTCATTGCAAATGGATCTTTACTATGAAAGTGATTACCATCTACATTAAAAGACCTTAAAACTGAAGCTTAAAATGATCTCAGATTTGAATAAATCCAGTACAAACAAAACAGGAGTATAAATACATCCGCTCATTACAAGGGAATTCCTACATCCAGACTGAGTCTCAAGCAGAATAATTTCCATTTTAATTAACGGAAACACTAGATAAAGTTGGAATAATGAAACAAACTTTAATGACTAAATAAATAATGGTCTTAAGCAAAATAGTACTCTGGTTAGGATATTAATCTAATGCCCTTGTTTTGTAAGACTAATACATGGAAAATATCTACACATGGCTTAAACATTTATTTTTTCCTGTGCAAAACTTAAATCTTTAATTTTAATTAAAAGACATGGCTGTTTCAATACTATAAATAATGGTTGTCTCATTGCTAAGCCACTGAGAGCCACTAACATATTGTAAATACCAAAAGATTTGAATTTGTGAAGTAGGCAAACAATTTTGATGTAAACCAAGAACTTTGTTGTAAAATTTAAATATGAAATCTCTGTCCAACACTGTATATTCCTCACCTTTGTTTTTCATTGAAATAGTTTATTTTACAGATTAACAATATGGTTGGTCTTACCATTTCAACTTACCATTCCATTGGAATTATTTATTCCATTCATATTAATTTTAGTTACAAATCTAACTGTAGGAGGTGCTTCTGGATATTTAGGTCCACACTCTACTTTCAGACTGTATATTCTGTTTTCATAGTTTGTCTAGAAAGCAAAAAGACAGACTAATGCATCTCTCTGAAAACTGAGTATTAAAAATTAACACAAAGCAAACGCAAGAGGATTAAAGATGAAAAAATATGAAATGATAAGTCTGTTAATATTATGTACCAGTTGATGGTCTTGGATTTCTGACAGACTGTTTTGGTTATACTTATTACCTGAGGAATACGTATAAATTACACTACTAATTGACAGTCCATACAAAAGTTTTTAACAGAATACATTTTTTAAAAATTCACATTTACTCTTATCCTCCTAGCCATCCGCATTCACAAATCACTTTTGGCACAGTAGGGGGCTGACAATAATCTTCAGGAAAATTATTTCACTGCCCACAAAAAAATATCTAACATACACCCAAAATAAAAGGAAATAAAGACAAAGAAGCAAATAAACCAAACAAGAACAAAATTAAAACAGTTCTGTAAAAACATATTAAAGGAGTAATTTAACAATCCACTTCAGAAGACATGCAAGACTTCCATTGCTGAGGATTGTTAAGCAAGGAAGTAGTAAAGAGAGCAATCATTTAACAGTTATCCAAAGCCTTTATGAATTTGGACAGTACAGTTAAGTGACAGCTAGTTAGTAGATTATTTTTACCTGTTTCTAAGTGCAAATATATCTTGAGAAAGTCCAATTAGAAATTAATACAGGCGTGTTTCTTTGTTTTTTAAAATCTTGTCAAGTAGGACGTGAATGATTGAAAGTATCAGTGACTGCTACTCACTGATGCCTCTGTGCTCCAAAAGGAATATAAACCCAGCTTCTACACCTGCCTTTCCATTGGCAGAGCACATACAGCTAACATGAACCCAGAGCAGAAAGACGCCTCAAGGCTTCCAAATGTCTATTCTAAGCTGTTCATCAGCCAGCTGTCACTCTTTCCAAGTAGACGAATCAACCACACAGTCAAATTATCAAATGGCTCTCCACTCTGCAGTCAATCAAATGGCAGTGTGGAAACCAGGCTACTGAAGCATCCTAGCTATGACCTATAATTTCAAGAAGCCACAAAGACTGTGCAGCAACCGGGTCAGAAAGAAACAAAGGTAAGCAAGATACCCTTTTTTAAGCAAAAAGGTTTTCTACTATTATTAACCTAAAAGCTGAAGGGCCAGGAAAGGTAATCTTGTCCTTCCGTAGATAATGTAGCTGCTACCACAGGAAGAAAATACAGTAACAAAAAAAATCTCATTATTCACTCAGACAAAGCAATTTATTTCCCAGAGAGGGATGCTGTCATTTAGAGTGGAAATAGGCCAAAATGTATATACACTGCTCACAACTCTGAAAAATCCTGAGAATGGCACTCACATTCTCTTATTCCTATCCAGGTGGCTTCTCAATTTTGCTGAGTTCCTCCAATCACCATTTTACTGTAAGTCAAGTATCCCTGACCAGCTCCCCAAAAAGCCCTAAAAAGCATTTTTCAGGGTGAGAAAAAGGTTTCCTTTAATCCAAAACAAACCTCTCCTTCCCCCTCCATGTTGGTTCACCCTGCAAATCAAGTAAGAAAAAACGATAAGCAATTGTTTGCACTGCTCTAGAGAAGCCACAAATGTGAAGAACTTCATGCTATGGAGAGCATTAGCAATTTTCTGTGCGTTCTGCCAAGCTGCACACTGTCTACATAACCAATTCCAAAAGCATTCATTTTCTACAAACCCTGAAACTGGACATGAAATTCTTCTCATCAAGGTATTACCCACTGGCTTGAGAACTAGTGGCTTTCACTTTCTGTAGTTACTACATGATGCAAGTCATTCTGCTGTACACAAGACTGCATGTCCCCAAAATGACCCAGAATTACACTTACTTGCTTGCACTCTTTCAGAAAAAAAAAAAATATATATATATATATATGTAAATTGACTAGAATTAAAACTGCATGACAGCATTTTTTAATTTTTATTTAAAACAAAAACGTTTGGACTCCTACACAGCAATCACTCCCTTCAGAAATGTGTTAGGAGTCTGCTTTAGGTGGACCAAAAATCAGTAACTGGCAGTTCTGGAGGATGTTTAGAGAGTCAGGGTGACATTACTTTTCTTAACCCACATTTGTAAGATCTTCTCAAAAAATCCCTAAGAATACAAACTTTCTTCAAAATGTATTTGAACACTGTGACTACACTGAAGTATCCAAGGCATCCTGTCATTATATTTGTATGTTAAATTGGCTCTCTCTCAAATGCATTCAAATCTCAGAAGCCCAGCACAATTATGCAGATAGTCAGAACAGTCTGCTGCATGTTACAACTGACTTCCAGAAGCAGCTTAAATTACACTGAATTTAACTAGAACTCTGTTTCTCTGGAAGACCATCCTCAGAGGCCAATTTCTGATCTCAGTTCTTGTTTTGGATAAACCCAGTAAGCCTTCTGGCACCAAAGGACACATAAAACAGTAACCTCATGTTAGCAGTGAAAGACATGTGCTAACTTAGAGCTACTTGAAGTATACTCATTTGAAGTCTTTGTTTACACAGTGATATTTTGTATCATATTAACTCATTAAAAAGCTTTCACAAAAATTGCACATGAAGTTAAGACGTGCCCATTCAGATCTGGCTAGGCTGATACTCAGAACAGGGATTATCACTTCTCTTAAAGGATTTCAGTGTAGATGACATTCTACAGAACTTAAAAGGTCAGAAGGATTTGACCTTTTTATTATTTATATATTTTACCCTTTTTTATTAATTATTTATATATTTTACAGGTAACTAGTAACTGCTTGGTCTTTAGGACTGATTCAATCAGATTACATAAATTGCTATACTTATAAATTATCTGTGAAAACTTGTGAAAGTTAAAAATATAGCCACTTTGCCACAGAATTGAAATTACCAGGCACATATGATAAACTGGGGAAAGACAGCTCTCCTGTTTACTGGACTATTACTATACACTGATGTGCAGTAACGATGGAAATATTAGTGAGGAATATATTCAGTCATCTGTAAATTTCACATCAGAACTGGCTTAGAGAGTTGCAGAAACACATACTAGAGTGAATTTTACACATACTACAGTAAATTTTAACTAATTTCTTTACATTGTAGCAAAGTAACTTTTCTTCTCCTCATTTTGTATGGCCTACAATGTTTTACTTTGGTACACTTACCCTTGGTGGCCCAATAATCATGCCTGTCCATCTGGTGAGTGTCATATCTTCATCATCTTCAAGGCCCCAGCTTACTGTACCATCACCTACTCCTTTCTGCCCTTCTTCAAGTTCTTCCAACAAGCGAAAATTACGAGGTACTTTAACTGGAGAAAAAATGAAAGAATGAAATTAATACTTTAGAAGAAGCCAAACAATTTCACTTTTATATAGTATGCATTAGCAATTGTTGAATGCATTTTCAAAGTTTAACAAAACACTCCCTGTCTAAATTTATTTAGCAAATTGTTTTGAAGCAACTAGCCACTTCTCTTGAAAGCTCGTTCCTACCCAATTGATATCAATACAAATTATCAAAGAGAAAATAAGCCATCAAACTAAACAGAGGTCTCTCAATTCAGATACTCCTCTTCCCCAAGTACGGTACTATTTAGAGTCAAAACATTTCAAAATCAATTCATTGTCATGTTCTACTCAAGTAGAATACAAATTAAATCAATACTGCAAATTCCCTATAAAAATAATTTAAGAATGCAATATTTAACACAGATTATATTAAGAAATGTAAACTGTAAAATCAGGTGACTTTTTTCAGTCCTTTTCTGATTAAAAAACAAATCAATGAAGCAGACTTCAATATCTGAAAACAAACTAGAAATCGAGTCTCATTTAATCTGGTGATTATTATTCCAACTTAACATATAAAAAAAGATAAGAAGCACAGAAACACCGATTAAGTTGTTAGAGAGAGAGATAATGACATATTCACAACAGAATATGAAGATGTACTGCCTCTAAAGACAGCCAAGTAATATTCACTTACGGAACTATAATTACTGGATTTTGATGATTATACTTGAGGACTGACAGATATTGCTAGATATTAAACAAGTAGAAGTTTAATTGCTTTACATCACTGAAGCTAAAATGATATTTCAGCACTCATGTACTGAACGAAGCTAATTAACACTTGTGCTTGCAGTCATGGCATGCTTTTATTTTCAAACACACAGTATGTAGTAGCAATAGTACAATAAATCTTCAACCTTCTTTTAATAATGATTCGTAACTTTTTTTTTCTTATATATCTTCTAATAGATACTTATAGCTATAGAGCTTCCAAAGCTGTTGTGGTTTTTTTTGTTGTTGTTGTTTTGTTTTTTAATAGGGAACTTGTTTTGTACTGGAAGAAACCAGGTCCTTCATAGAAATAAAACTTTTGAGACTAGGTACAGACAAAGTTCTTAGTAAGGAATACATTCTACATTAGTCTGAAAAAGACGGGGGGAGCAAAGGCAATTCTTCTGCACATCAGTTATTTAGTTGCTGGGATTTCAGGTTTGACACTAATCTTAGTCCGTATTCCAAGTGGCCTATCCAAAAAATTAAGACCAAAAGTATACAATATGTTCATTTAATCAATATGTACACATAGGAACCAGCATAGACAAACATATCCTTCAGGAACTACTCAAATAGCTTATTTTGCATAACTTTTTTCTACGCACAGACCAGGGAGAGTCTCCTAAAAATGACAGCAACAAATATCCAAGTTCTCCAAATGCCCAGAAGAAGTCATTACGAGTACAGCATCAGAACAGTGTAAGGAATTTAAGTCACTCATGTATGGCCTCACCTCCCTTCTGTCTTTGCTAGTACCACTCACCTAAACCCATTAGGAGCTACGTCAGCTTGCTAACCGAGCAGAAAATTCCACGTTTCGGTTCAGCTCCTGACAGCTTGACAAAATGACCCAGCTCACAGAGAGCTCAGACAAGTACCAGCATGTGTGAGGCCACGGCAGCAAAAACTCAGGATGTAAAACAACATTTTAAGCAAGTTCAACTACTCTGGAAACTTATTTTCACAGAGTTCACATATAATTACCTGAAAGTACTAACACAACAGGGATCAAGGAGCAGACCATTTATACTTCAGCATAGATCCTTTTAGACAAGCTTCATTGAAATGCATCTGTTCATTCCTCTGGTCCCGTCCTGACTTACTAACATTAGATCTGTGCATCTACCTGTCTAATTCAGACTAGGTATGAGCACAGACAATCACACTTCTGTTACGTTAAATAGGGTACAAAGGTTTTATTTTGCTGCTGATTCCTATATGCCCTGGACTGCAGTCTGCCAGTAAAAGGTTTATGCTAACCTTTTAAAAAAATATAATAAAAACAGGCAGCAGGGTAAACTTATACTAGACTTACGCTTTGCAGCACACAGCTGAAGAGTTTTTGATGGACACACAGAGTCTCCCAAACCCAAGCCCTGTGCCCCACTCCTCCTTCCCCCAGACACAACCACATACTTCAGCATCTGATCATCATCCCACACTTCTCCAGTTCTCCTCAGAAGCCTTGCTCTGACTGCCAAACACGTGCTTTATGGCTCGCCTCCTGCAGCAGCACATAGCAGAAGGTGGCAGACAGGCCCTGGGTTTATTTCCAAGCACTTGCTATCAGCACTCACCCCAACCTCAGGTGCTTCTGAGCTATCTGGGCTCCTCGACCAGCCCGACTGGCAGCCTCATTTACCAGAAAGTTCTTCTTCCTTGAAGTAAAATCACATCCACCCAGGTACTCAACTGAATTGACTCCAGAAGCAGGATCAACAGAGGCCAACACTGACTGCTGCATCTTCCAGTGCCTGCCTCTGCAAAACCCTGGCTGTGGAGATGAGGGAACTTTTGGTGCAAAAAGCCACTGGACTGGCTCAATTGTAGCATAAAATTGCACTCATCAGACCAATATCTGTGGGAGACGACAGTTACTAGAAAATAACAACCCGCTATGACTAACTGTCCCATGGCCATCACGATTTTTTCCACTACGTTGTCTGTGCTCACCAGTTCCCCTAACTGCCCACAGGGAGCAGTGAAGGACTTGGGAAAACTCCCAGATTTTTTTTTTTTTTTTTTTACTTCCAGTAAATAATTCAGATCCGCTCTGAAAAAAAGATGAAAGGATCTGAACAGCAAGTACCAAGCTCCCCACACTAACGTTCCTCTTGGTGCTAGGGCTAGGGAGCAAAACATCGCTCTGGATTAAAAATAAGACTCAAAATACCTACTTTTACACAACTACACACCTATTGAGATTCAAAACCATTAACGCCCCTCCCAAAAAAGCACATTACAAATTCTTAACTAAAACTGGACCAAGGAGTCACTCAAACACATTCCCTTTCAGAAAGTTATGCAGTCCTACAACATTTGGGTTGGAGATGCCAGAAAGGACTGTATAAAAAATTGTGTAAAATGAAGCCGCTATTTCCTAAGAACATTCCCATATTTAAGACACTTCATTTAATTTTGCAGACTTATTTTAGTCCTTTATTTACACATTCATCATATACGCACAAAATATTTCACCTCATGCAATCTTATATTTAAGATTCAAAAATCAACCCCTTCCCCATATTTCCACCCTGTGCACAGCTTCATTATGGACGTCTACCAGAGCTTTTTTACAACAACAGATTAACAGGTCACTATTCCTGGCTTGCAAAAAAAAAAAAAAAAAAGCCACTAAACTGCTTTTTTTTTTCTTCCTTTCATATATGATTAGTGGCTTGTCCCCCTGGGGTGCAAATTTCTACTGACATCACTACTCAGTATTTTATTAGAAAACCACTGTTGATAGATTTCTTAAAAGTGACCCAGAATACTCTAAAAATGAACACAATGGATTAAAAAAAAGCCACCACCAACCACCTTACCTTTATAATGACAGTCTTAAGAACTACCAGCAAACTGAATTGGAATTAAATGCTACTTCCATTCGTAGTACACTCATGCACCCACACAAGCTATACTCCTTAAAATAAATCTAGGTAGCTGGAAGAACAGGATATACATGTGACATTGAACCCTCTTTCCAGTAAAACAACAGCAAGAACTTCTATTTAGAAAATTAGGTAATGATGGCCTGGATCTTTCTGCTATTAAGCTTGCACCTAATATATAGGAAAAGAATTATTGACTCACTATTTCACATAGGGCACAATCTACATTATATATTAATAGGGCATATGCAACATACAGTTTTGTCTCTAATCCAGACAAAACAGATCATCAAATATTTGTTAAGGACTTTGAAGTACTCCTTGAAGGAAACAGAGTAAGGATCAATATTTCATTTCCAGATTCTGGGCAACAAAACATCCTCTGCTCAAGTCTGCCAACTGTGCAGCTCCTCAGCAACAGCAGCTCCCTTGTTCTTCAGCTAGCAGCTCCCCAGTGCCTCTCCTGGAATAAGGAGCAGCAACTGGAGAGAGAGAGATGCCGCTAGATTTCCACCAGCATGGGACAGCCAGGAATTGCTGTTCCCAGTTCCTCCTGCTGATGGGATCACTACTGTCAAACAGCATGTACCAAGTTTTCCACACAGCTGAAGTAAACGCTGCACTCATCATGCTCATATATACCAATCATTTTAAATTTAACAGAAGCTTATTCATGAAAAAAATCAGGAAAATAAGAAAGGATTCATCAGTATTCTTTAACAGGACCGGTAACTTTTTCTGCAACGATACAGGAGAACTAGCTGAGACATTTTCTGGAGCGACCTGTTCTTGGTTAGTGTGCCAAGACACAGGTCCACAGCTGATAGCACTGGATCACCTGCTGGTACAGATTTAATCAGCACCAAGAAGACACACGGTTGCACTTACATCAAATTTGACAGAGCAGACTGGCTACGCTAAGCCACATTTTTGAAGAATTCACACTGACAGACTCCTTCTCTGGTCATATAAATCTGATTAAACTTAAGTGACCTACGCTGATTTAACTGCCAATACAGGTATGGGCATCCATTGCTTTAAAATGAATTAAAGCTGGTTTACTTCAACAGCTTGGTTTAATATCAGAAAGTATGGAATACATCAACAGTTGTTTACCTTTTTGTGTAATTTCAATTTTAATATTCATGAAATTAAGCAATGCAAGAACGAGTATTTTCTTGATCTCACTGTGCAGCTATTACCTGTACCCGTCTGCAGCTGGAGGTAAATTATGCATTGGTGCTATTCCAGGCCAAACAGAAGTAGTTTGGAGAGCCCAGACTAAAGCAACAAAAGTGATACAAAAAAATAAATACAAAATACTCTAGATTATGGACCTAGCAGGACTTAAT